GGATCAGGGTACTGATTTTCTAGTCCCTTTTATGATTGTGTGGCTTTAATGGACCTAATTATTATTCCAGGTGGGTTGTTGGTTGGGGAATTTTTCGTCTGCTGCAATTACATCTATGGGGGATATTTTATTTCTCCAGAGGTCCTTCTTCGCACCCCTCTCTTTTCACTAGGGAAGAGAATACTCAGTACTAACATTAACTCAGGTCAGATATAGACTAAGGGCCCAAAGAATTGGTCCAGTTGACCAGTCACCCCATGTGATCTTCTGTGAGTCCTCAGCTTCATTTTGTACAGGGACTATCTCCCCACTATTAGGGCTTGTGCCCCAGAGGACTGTTTGGGAGAATCTTATTCTTTTTTAAAATGTGTATGAGTTATTAGACAGTGATCATGCACCCCTTTAATCTCAGCTCTCAGAAGGCTGAGGCAGGGGGATCTCTGTGACTATGAGGTCAGCCTGGTCTACAGAGCTAGTTCCAAGGATAGCCAGGGCTACACAGAGAAACCCTGTCTTGAAAAATGGTTCCCCATAAATGATACATAAACAAACAAACAAATAAAATATATTGATGGGAGATGTCATTCTGAAATCTGTCTCTTATTGGTTGTTGAATAAAGCACTGTTGGCCAATAGGGAAGCAAGATAGGTGGGACTAGGAGTTGAGGAGGACTCTGGGAAGGAAAACTCAGGGAGTCACCACATAGCCGCCATAGGGATAAGAAGTCCGGACCCTTTCTCCGGTAAGAGAAATACTTAGATTAACAATTATGGAGTAAATACTTAAGTCAGAGATAGCCAGTAAGAAATCAAGCAAACGGCCAACAGCTTCATAATTAATATAGCCTCCTGTGTGTTCATTTGGGACTGATGTGGCTCTGGAACCAGGCTGGCAGGAAGGCTGCACTCTACAATGTATATGGGTGTTTTGCTTGCATGTATGTCTGCACACCATGAGACCAGAAGAAAATATCAGATCTCCTGACTGGAGTTACAGACAGTGTGAGCCCCTGTGTGACTGCTAGGAATTGAACCCGGGTCCTCTGGAAGAGCAGGTAGTGCTTGTAACTACTTAGCTATCTCTTCAGCCCCAGGAATCTTATTCTTATTGGCTTCAGATCTTTATCCTTTCCCTTCTTTCTGGAGCTGTACTCCCAGAACCTCAACATCTACTCTAATGGGCTCTGGGGGATGTCAGGGAGACTCCTCGTCTCTCCCTGTTCTGGTCCTGCGTGAACATAATCAACTCTTCTGCACTGGAGCTTTCCCATTCTCAGTGACCTTATGACTGCCACTCTAGACACATTCTCAGCGCCCCCCCCAAACCTCCAAACACCAAGGCGGTCCTTTGTAGTCCAAGCTTCCTGCCTTGGTTGGTACATAGAGTCACCTGGTTGCTGCAGTACTCTCTGTGACCTGTCTCCAAATTGCTGATCTACTTTTGATTTTTAGATTTCTGTTAGTTCTGGAGCCGGAGAGTTTTTCCACACCCAGGACCATTGCAAAGAGGGAACTTATTTCCAATATGGAAATAAGTCTGCAAGGCCCTGGCCATGGAGAGAGCCCTCACTTAGGGCACCAGGTTGTAAGAAATGGAGCTGGGGGGTCTCAAGAAGATGACCATATAACCCAGGGTATTTCAGCAAGGCAAAGTTTTACTTTCAGGAAGTGGGGCATCATTCTTGCCCAGTGGTGCAGAGATGCTGGTAAGCACACAGCTGCGGGTCCACTGGGTTTTTGTTGCTAACAAAGAGGGGGCCTGTTCCTCTCTCCGCAGTCAGAGTGTGGCCTCGTGTTCTTTTGTGACTGACTCATGAAGAGGCACAGTTTCTAGGCAGAAATGAAACTTGAACATCTGTTTTGAGCCGGGCGGTGGTGGTGCATGCCTTTAATCCCAGCACTCGGGAGGCAGAAGCAGGCGGATCTCTGTGAGTTCGAGACCAGCCTGATCTACCAAGCGAGTTCCAGGACATGGTCCAAAAAACAATACAGAGAAACCCTGTCTCGAAAAATCAAAAAACAAAAACAAAAACAAAAAACAAAAAACAAAACGAACATCTATTTTGATTTCAAGAAGTGCTGGTTTTGGAGGAATTTGAATTTCGGCAAGTGGCTTCTTTGTAATTTCTTAAATGGAGTTTTGTCCAATTTAACCTTAGGTAGAAAAGACAGTGACTTTTTTTTTCCATAAGAAAGTTGAGGCCCTGGATCTGTCTTTGTATCATACAGCATCACCAGACCTTTCTCCCAACCGAGTATTAACCAGGCCTGACCCTAATTAGCTTCAAAGACCAGATTGGCATGTTGAGTGTTAACATAACCTTAGACTCCCCTGTGCCTTGCTGACAGAAATCTCCTGAATTGCTTGATGTATCATTAACCCCTCCTCTGCCTGTCTTGGGCATATATACAGTGCTCCATCAATAACTCGATGACAGCAGCTGGAATGGAACAGAGGCCAGCTGCAAATAGAACAATGCAGATATAAACATCAACTGAGAACTACAATTAACTTAACTTGTCGTAGCACCTTAAACAAATTTTTCTTGAGCTGGGAAATTCCTCAGCGGGCAGGAGTACTTGCTGTGTAAGCATGAGTAGCTGATTTCAAATCTCCAGAACTCACATAAGCTATGTGTAACTATATACCTGTGACCCCAGGCTGTGGCAGGGCAGAGACAGGAGGCCCAAAGGCACTTTCTGGCCACCAGCTGAGTCACAGGTTCAGTAAGATGCCTTATCTCAAGAGAACAAGATGGAGAGGGTCAGTGAGATGACCAGACTTAGATCTGAGCTTGATAAACCAGACTCTGATTCCTAGGACCTACAAGGTGAAAGGGAACTGACTTTAACAAGTTGTCTTCTGCCCTCGACATGTGCATGGTGGCATGTGCTCATACACACATGCACACACTCACATGAACAAATGTAAAAGAGAAAAAGGTGAGAGGCAGAGGTAGGAGTTTAGAGTTACCGAGTTTGAGGCTAGTCTGGTGTACATAGTGAGTCCAGGATAGCCAGGACTACATAGGGAGACAGGGAGAGAGAGAGAGAGAGAGAGAGAGAGAGAGAGAGAGAGAGAGAGAGAGAGAGAGAGAGAGAGAGAGAGAACAACACCCAAATTCCTCTTCTGGTCTCTGAGTACACATATACGTGTGTGTACTAAACACACATGTATGAATGCACCACACACACACACACAAATTTTAAAAAATTTCCTTTGACAGTTCTGGTTGGAAAGTTGTAAAATTCACAAAAGCATGAATAAGAAGTTAAATGGTGCTAGGAAAACTAGCTTTCTTAGCACCAGAAGTGCAGTGTAGGCTGCTGGGAGAGATAAGACATCAATAGTCTACCCAGATATGACTCCTCTGAGCTATACTAGCGATTGGCATGGCATGGCTGCAGTAGTGGTATGCGATGGGGGTAGCCAACAGCTCTCTGGTCAGATTTAAGACGTGTTCCGCAGGTGGCTGTGTATGCCCCGTATTGCAAATCTGGCCAAGAACCATGGCTGTATTGCTCACGGACCCCAGGGTGAACCTACAGCTGTTATTCTGCTAAATGAACATAATAATATCAAACTGCCCTCTAAATTCATACCTCTGTACCCATAAGATTAGCGCAGCCTTCAGGCCTCATCGGAGAAGCTTCTTTGTAGAGTGAATGGCAGTAGAAACTCAAAACTGGTCTAAGGGCAGAGAATAAGTGTCTGTGGGGGTGTTCAGCCACAAACGTGAAATCTGTATCAAGATGGGCAGAAAGACTGTCAGAGCCAGAGGTTGGAAAGGACTCTCCTGGACACTCCAGGACTGATGCATTTGTGGTCATAGCAGCTGGGTTGTCTGTAAGATCAAGCCCTTAATATTTCAACACAGAGCCCCCATCCCTAGCTGAGGAGCTTTGGACAGTTGATGGTAGTTTGATCATGGCCCAGTGTATAGCTCTACACCCATGATTAGCTGGGCAGCAGATTGGACTTGGTGGCTTATAGAAAACAAAATATGATCAAAGTACATTGTATGAATGTGTGATTGTGGGTACGTATATGTGTATGACATTCTCAAAGAGTGAATGGAAGCATATTTAAATGCAAAAGAGAAATTAGCTGCTGTTATTGTAAATAGGATATGCCTTTTATATGAAGAGTATGGTTATGTATTTTCTATCTATTAGTGCTGTAAGGAGTTCTTTGAAATATGCTTAGAACATAACACTATGCGGCTGAAGAGATGGCTTAGTGGTCAAGAGCACTGGCTGCTCTTCCAGAGGACCTGGGTTCAGTTCCCAGTACTCACATGGCAGCTCATAACTGTCTGTAACTCTAGTTCCAGGGGATCCAACACCGTTATACAGACATACATGCAGGCAAAACATCAATGCACATTAAATTAAAAATAAATTTTAAAAACCATGCAACACTTCCTAGCATTCCTCCGTTGTTTTTAAATGTTATTAGTGTCATTTTAAGTTACTGCATAATATTCCTAATCAGAAAAATGGAGATAATTGAAGGTAGGTACCACTGTTATGTCATGAGTACTGACAATAATTATGTAGAAAGCTCAATTTAGCTTCCTCCCAGGATGGATATTATATACTGTAATTGATCTGATTTTGATAAGCGTTGTGGGAATTACTGGTGTGCACGCTTGAAAACTAACTGAATTAACATTGCACTAAGGCAATGGACAGGAGAAGGATCCTGGGAAAACGCATAGGGAGGTAGCTGCAGAGTTGGAAGTAGGGCCCAGCTTGGCAGTTAGGCAAGTAATACCAACTCATCGGTGTGCTGGGGCAGGGAGATAACAAGATTGAGGGCTACTGAGACTACAGTGTGAATTTAAGGTCAGCCTGGGCAACTTAGTGAGACCCTGTCTCAAAAGAAAAAAGTGAAAAGAGAGGCCAGTCTGTTGTAGCTAAATGTCAAGGTCCTTCCTAAAAAAGAAAAAAAAAAATGGGACTAGGGCCTGTACAAAACCAAACAAATCTGGGACTAGCAACTCCTGCAGGTGGGGACCGAGGAAATCCCAGCTGGAAGAGAAGAAGAAAGGGAACGCACTGGCCGCCAGGCCCGGGACAGCCGGAAGGCCGCGAGGCCAGCTGGGCTCCTGGCTGCCACCGAGGGGCCAGCCCAGCTCCCATCTGCTGCTCCTGGGGTTGCCTGGCAACTCGGGTGGCGCGCCGTTCGAACGGAAGCGAAGGGCCAATCAGGAAGTCCGGGGCGAACCATTTGCAGCGACGGGGACGGCTCGCTCACTTCCCTTTCCTCCGGGCTCTGGGGACCTTCGCCCCGGCAGGACGGTAGGACAGCTCAGGCCTCCCTTTCAGAAGAGCCCGCCCGTCTCAACACGCGACGGCCGCCTCAGAGCTTCTGGGGCCAAGCTCTCCAGCTGTCAGCCTCGGCAGCCCGCGAGAAGCGCGGGGGACCCTCCAGACACAGGCGGCAGGTGAGCATGGGGGAAAGGGGGCTCACAGGGTCTGAGGTAGGGTCCACGCACCATTCGAGGCAAGTTTACCAGCACAGAGGGCTGACAGAGGGCCCAGGTCTAGTGTCCCGCCCAGGGGGCCAGCAGAGGATCCGGTCCTCTGTCCCCCCTGCAGCCTCCACTCCAGGCAGATTTGCTATGAGAGGTTCAGAGGGCCCCTACTGGTCATTCTCCGGGGCTTGTTGGATGTGGCTTAGGGAATCTCAGGGCTAGGCTACCTCTGCCCCACCTGTCTTTGGAGTTTCCCTTCAGGACATATGGCCTTCCCTTCCCCAGGGACTCTTTGGCAACTTTCCTGCCTGAGTGGTCTGGAATCCCAGTGCTGCCCTCTCAGAGGGCCTCCCTGGGGGCAGGCTAGATTCCGGAGGACAGCAAGTCCAAATGCCCTGGAAGTCAAGTCATGTGGGCTTCTTGGGAGTCGGTTCCTGTGTGTGGTGTGTTCTCTGTCTCTGTCTCTGTCTGTCTGTCTGTCTGTCTGTCTGTCTGTCTGTCTGTCTGTCTGTCTGTGTGTCTGTCTGTGTGTCTGTCTGTCTGTCTCTCTCTCTCTCTGTGTGGGTGTGTGGTGTGGGTGTGTACTTTGTGTATGTGTTGGAGGTGGGTGGGTCAGCCTCGAAGCCAGAGTTGATAGTCACTGGATTTTAGAGTCGGGTGCTGGGTCAGGCCCTCCCAAATGGAGCATCTAATTTAGGCTGGCTTATGTTCCCCACTCAGGTTGCTGTCTGTTGTCTCTTTTCATAGGAGGGGAGACTGAGGTTCTGAGAAGTTGAGCCCATTGCTCAAAGTCACAGACTTACCTATTCAGAGGTCTTCCGGTCCTTGACACAGGGAAGAGCCGGATTTGATGGAGGGCCTCTTCTGCCGGGAACTGCTCATCCTCCAAACCTCATTCTGGCTCTGGGGGAGTCTGTGTTTGCCTGTCTGTCTGTCCATGTGTCGTCTCCCTCTACTTAGGGTCTTGTGTGGCCCAAGCTGGCTTCAATCTTACTATGTATACTAGGCTGATCTTGAACGTCCCGTCCCCCTGAGTCTGTCTTCTCCGATGACAAGCATGTGTCCCCCCACACCAGTTTTATGTCATTTTAGGATGAAACCCAGGACGTGGTGCATGCTAAGCAAGTACTCTACCAACTGAGCTATATATACCTGCTGAGCCTACACCTCCTGAGCTTTTACCTCCTGAGCCTACACCTCCTGAGCCTTTACCTCCTGAGCCTACACCTCCTGAGCCTACACCCCCTGAGCCTACACCTCCTGAGCCTACACCTCCTGAGCCTACACCTCCTGAGCCTACACCTCCTGAGCCTACACCCCCTGAGCCTACACCTCCTGAGCCTTTACCTCCTGAGCCTACACCTCCTGAGCCTACACCCCCTGAGCCTACACCTCCTGAGCCTACACCTCCTGAGCCTATACCTCCTGAGCCTACACCCCCTGAGCTACACCTCCTGAGCCTACACCCCCTGAGCCTACACCTCCTGAACCTATACCTCCTGAGCCTACACCCCTTGAGCCTACACCCCCTGAGCTACACCTCCTGAGCCTACACCCCCTGAGCTACACCCCCCTCCTCCTCATTTGTTCCTTCCTCGGTGTTTGGCTCCCTGTGGCCTGGTCCCTCTGTGTGCTTTGTTTTCCAGTAGTGTGTTCCATATTGTACGCTAGTCGTCTTATTAGGCAGTCTATTGTCTTTTCCACTCGAATGTGTTAAGTGAGATGCTTAACACAGTTACAAAATGTCAGGGTGCCCAAAACTTCCAGAACTAAGATGATCAAAGCCATCTGTTGGCCATTTGCTGTGTTTTGTGCTGGGGGTGGAGTAGGGTAGGTGGTGTCAGCTCTGGCTGACTCTGGCAAGCTCAGGCATCGCTGTTATGAGCATGCAAGTGCATGCACACACACACACACAGACACACACACCCCTCTGCCTGCCCCCATCCAGATACTTCGTTTTTAGGCAAAATGACAGGTGCTGCAATGCTGCAGTGGCCTGTTGGAAGCGGGGGCTGGACAGATGCACAGTGGCCATCAGTAGGGGCTGATGAAAAGTCATCATAAACTCCTCAAGTACTGATGTGGCACCAAGAGGAACATGGGTTTCTGAGCAAAGGCGCTGAGTGAAAATGACACACATGACACACTTTGTAGTCCCAAGCTTCAACCTTGGGACAGCTAATTGAGAAGTTACTAAGTAGACATGGTGATTACATCTCCAGAAAGCTATGAGATCACTGCTCTGCCTGTGATTTGTCACTGGCTGTGTGACTTTGGGCAAGTTTCTTCACATTCTGAGCTGGGATAAACACTGCCTGTGAGCTCAGGTCTAGACAGGGTACTATAGGACAGGAAGTGGGCGTGGCCACAGGTCAACTCAAGCTTTACCTTCCCAGCCTTTCCCTTCCTCCCTCCCTCTTCCCCTGCAAATCTGCCTTTGCTCCCTTTTTGTTAGGGTGCAACTTGAGTCCCCAAAGTTTGAATTAGAGGAGGAGCATATATTGGAGGAGTTCGTGTAAATGCTCACTGTCCTAGGCATCTACACCCTCTCATAACTCCCTCCCTGAGGTTCGTGCAAAGCCACTCTGAGCAAGGCTGCCTCCTGGGCAGGCCGGGGCATGATCCTGGGGAAAACTCCAGAAATAGCTTGGAACCTGGCCTGCCCTGGAGAATGCCTAGTCGGGAGTCTCTGACCTGGACAGCTGGGCTTCTTCCCCGCTGCCTGGAGCCTTCTTGATCCTCCTCAGCAGCAGCTCAGGGCCGCCCTGTCTACCAGGCCTGAGCCTTTGAAAGGACAGAGAAGCAGGTGGGGTGCTGCAGAATGTCATAGAAATGATCGACCCTAGAAATCCTCCTTCTACGGGGAAGAAAGGATGCAAAGGGAAGCGTGGACTCGCAGCTGCTTAGCCTCAGACCCCATGCCTTGTACGGAGTGTTTTACCAGTCTGAGCTGTGATGCCCCTCCACCCTGTGAAGTGAGGGGATTATTGCTTTTGTTCCATGAACACATATGCTCCAACAGCCATGTGGAAGTCAGAGGACTCATAGGAGTCAGTTATCATCTTCCATTGTGGGGTCGGGGGATTGAACCCAGATCTCCAGGCTTGTATGGCAAGCACTTTTACCCCAGGTCTTCTATCTGACCCCATCTAACTACTTTGAAGTATGCAGAAGCTCCACACTCAATAAACAGTCATTTCCCACCCTCAAACTCACCCTGGCAACCTCCGCTCTACCCTGTTCCTAGTGTTTTGACTCGATAGAAGCTTGCCACGCTGGCTGTATCGAGCTTATTGCGCTTAGCCTGATGCCTTTCAAGTTTCATCCATGCTGCAAAGTATGTCAGTCCCTTTTTCCCCTTAAAGCCTGAATAATCTGTTTTATGTTTCTTTACCCATTCATTCATTGGTGGGTACTTGGATTATGACCACCTTTTGGCTGTGGTGACTACTAAATCCCATTGGGGATTTAGTATGAGGGCTTTTGCTGGCATGCACACTCTAGTTCCTTTGAGATGAGTGTTTAGAGGTGTGATTTCTAGGTGCTGCTCTGGTCATTTGCTGCTTAACCTACAAGGAACTGTCATGTGGTTTTCACTATCAGCTGTGCACAGGGTTCTAAAGCCGCACCTCCTCACCAGCGCTTAATATCTTACTGTGTGTTTTGGATAGGACCTGTGCTAATGGGTATGACACTGTGTGTTGCTGTGATTTTGAACATTTCTTTAATGGTCCAGAGATGTGGAGTATATTTCTTTACATTCATTGGCTCTTTAGCTTTTGCATGCGTGCAAGTGTGTGTGTGTGTGTGTGAGAGAGAGAGAGAGAGGAGAGAGAGAGAGAGAGTGTGTGTGTGTGTGTGTGTGTGAGAGAGAGAGAGAGAGAGAGAGAGAGAGAGAGAGAGAGAGAGAGAGAGAGAGAGTTGGGGTTAGGCTAGCTTCCTGACCCTCCTGCCTCAGCCTCCTGAGTGCTGAGATTAAGCTATGTGCCACCAGCTTCGTTTTCTTCCTTGTGGAAGGTACTGCTTCAAGTGACTGACTTGACTGTCAGCACACTGCTGTTCTTGTCCTTGCAGTGTGATGGAGGAGGCTTTCCTCAGAGCTGGCCCTCGGAGGATCTGCATGACCAACTGACATCACAACTTTCACTTTGATGGCAGTTGTCATGCCTTGGGCCTGTTTTATAGTGGGGGAAACAGGTATGGAGAAGTTCCCTGCAGCAGAGGTGTAGGTGGGATGGGCCAGAGCCCTGAAGATTTTGACTTGGCACCTTTGGGGGAAGAAGGAGGCTTGGCTGGAAGTGGCCAAGCAGGAACAGGATGATGGGAGGCTGGTTGAGGAGTGAGTGTGGAAAGGACAACAGTAATGCGGCCTAGGGGAGACATGGCACTCAGGGATCCTGCCATCCCCCAGCTAATTACTAATTACAAGGGGGAAATGGCCAGTGTGTCAGCTGATCTCCCAAGATCTTGTCAAATGCTCCTACAAAGCAGGTGTGCTTGGGACACAGGGGCATTTCTATGCTCCTTCCTTACTGTGTCTCTCGCTTCCTCCTGGTCTCTCCCCTCCCCCTTTCCTTCCTTTGGAAATTGGAGTGTGATTGACATACAGAAAGCGGTATGTGTTTGGTGTGTCTGTCTTGATGCTGGCCTGGGCCTTCTTCAGCCTCTTGGTCAGTGTTTCCTTGCATTTGTCCTGGGGAAGAAGAAAACACAGCTGAATGGTGGGGCTCAGTCTGGTGGGTGGCTAGAAAATAAATGACAAGTAAATGAAGCTGCAGGGATGGCAACATCAGCAAAGGCGCTGAACGAAGCGTGCAAGAGGCCTCCCAGGGTAGACAGGGAGGGCTCTCTGAGGGACATGTGAGGGACCAGTGAGGGACGAGGTTCTACACGGACAGCAGCCGGCACAAAGGCCCTGGGGCGGGAAAGACCTTTGTGAAGGACCAGTCAGGAGGGCTTTGTGGCTGTCTGGGAATGGCAGTGTGGATGAGACGGTAAAGCTGGGCGAAGACCAGAGGCCACGCTGGGGACTGGAATTTATCCCCGGGAGGATATAAGGGTCAAGCCCAGCAGTGGTGAAGAGTGGATCTGCTGGGAAAACACTGCTGTTACCATCTCGAGAAGCTGCAGCCCGGATGTGTTTCCATAGGTGGCAGATCCTTATGGAGTTCAGGCAAGGTGGCTGAGGGGTCTTATGGAATTTCCCAGGAGGCACATTCTGTCTCTTGTCTCTCTCCCTACCAGATCCAAGCCTGGGTTCAAATCCTGGTTCTGTCATTTGCTGACTGTGTGATCTTGAGCAGGTAGCCTCACTTCTCTATGCCTTAGTTTTCTCGTATGTGGAACGGACACAATAGCAGTATCCACCTCACAGATAGATATAAGAATGGAATGAGCTCACATATGATATACATGGCAATGCATAAATGTAATCCCAGAAGGATGGCAGAGGCAGGAGAATGGAGAGTTCCAGAATGACCTGGATGATACTGCAAGACCCCATTTAAAACAAACACCCATCCTCCACCAATGGCGGCAACGAGGACAACAGCTTTGAACAGTATCTGCTTCTAAAGAAATATTCAGGAATGACCAGGACTTCTCCTTGACAAATGTTTCTGTCTCTGTAGCTTCCACTGTTAGTGCCCGAGGCCAGCTGTTCCTTTGTTCTCCCAGCCAGGCCAGGCAGTGAACTGGTCAGGCCTCTGTGGGTAACTTGTCCCCCATCCTGTAGTATACAGGACTAGAGGGGGCTCCAGTGCTCTGAGGGAAGGAAAGTGGACAGGAACCACATCCTGTCTCTTCCTGCCCCACCCCAGCCCTGACTCACCCTCCACCTGGGTGCAGGGTTGCTTTGCCAGTGCTGGGGTCTGCGGCCTGGTGGGCATCTCCTTCCCCTGGACCTCACAATACCCTGGAAAGTGACAGAAGCCTTGGACTGGCAGAGGGGACAGTTAAAGCCCTCCCAGGGATCCCCACCCCACGAGGGGTTGCAGTCTCCTCTGTGAAATATGGGTTTCAGATTGCTCCCCTCCAGGTGGTCCTGCTCTTCAAGGGTTAAGTGGACCATCTCACGCCACTCCTCTGTGGCTGTCCCTCTTGATCCTTCAAGCTGGCACACAGCTGTAGCCAGCAACCTCAGGCCTTGAGCACTCTCAGTAGGCTGTTCCCTAAGTCCCACTCTTCTCATTCATGGGACTGAGGCCCAGCCACCTGCTGGCACACGGGAATAGGGTGGTATTAGGGAGTGGTGGGAGGGAAAGTACCCGGGTTGGACTCCCCCATTGATTTTAGGCGAGTGACTCAGCCTGGCCTGTCTGGGGTTTCCATTAGTCAACTTGGATGACAATGGAGTTGCCTCATAGGAAGGCTACCCAGACCACACTAGTTCCCCCTGCTCCCCGTTTAATCACGGAAAGATTAAATGTTCAGGGAGAGCACTTTCCCGTGCCTGGCAGTGGACATCTACTAGAATCCCGCGCAAAGCTGCCTGATGTGCTGCCGACTGTGCAGGCTCCAGCTCGGATAAGAACCCGACCGGGTGAGCCTGGGGTCGCGGCTCCAGCCAGGCGCCCGCACCGGCCTGTCAGTCACCCATCGGGGTCACTGACTGGTCCTCCTTCTCTCTCCTGGAACACACGGGGCCGGCGGGTTCCCTTGCCAGGCCCCGGAAGTTGCGCAAACGCAAACACCGGCTACTTGAGCCAGGTGGGCGGGAGGCGCGCCGGCTGCTGGCAGGAGGCTGCTTGGGTAGCCAGGTATGTTGCCGTGCTAGGGAGTGGGGAGCGCAGCAGGGATTGTGGCTTCGGTCCCGGCATTCGAGACAGACGTGGGCCAACTCCTGCTCAGAGAGGGACAGCAGATCATGGGGGTCACACAGCCTTTGCTCACCTCAAGGCTTGCCCCCTAGTCTCTAGGATTTCTTCCAAGTGAGGAAGGACCGAAACCAAACCGGGGCCTTCCTGGAGCCTGAGGGGAGGGACGAAGTCGGGCTCTGGAATTGTGACCAGAAAGGCTCAAGGTTTATGCATTTAGGGACATTTGCGGCAGCATTTGAAAACCCATGGTGAGAAGAGTTCCCAGAGGAGACATTAAGGACCCAGGCTTCCTCTTGGAGGGGCCCTTGTGACGTGAGTTGGTGCCGGTCTGCTGGCTCATTGTGATCAGCCCCTGCCAGATGTCCCCTTTGTCCCTGCAGGGGCCTAGATCTGCCATTATGGATCGGGCTTAGAAGACCCTCGGAGGGGGCGGGTCTGCACACTCCATAATCAGAGCCTCCGTATGTGACAGCCAGCCTGGTTTACCGAGCGCTGGCCATTTCCAGGTGCTGCGAACCCGTTTGATCTTTCCAGCGGTGACCCGAAGGCACAGGGAGGTCTATTTTTAACTCCGTTGAACAGATAAGGGAACAACAGTCTGTTAAGAGCTGCCTCTTGTGCAAGGTGCAAGGCAGGGCCTGGTGAGAGAATGGGCACCCAGGTGGTTACCAGGCCAGGCTTGGCAATGGGCATCTGTCCCCGCCCCCATCTTTGTCTAGGGTTAGGTGGTGGGTAAAGAAACGAGGTGGTGGTGGTAGGGGAGCTTCTGCCCTGGCCCTGCGCCTCTGACCTCCTTCCTCTTTCCCAGGTGATGTTTGGAAGGGAACTGCCTCAGTCACCACCAACGGGTTGGACTGGTTTGGGTGGCAGAGCCGATGTGGGGGTTAGGGAGGTGGGGCAGAGTCTGGCTGTCTCGGCAGGGCTCTGGAGCAGCTCTGCGGGCCAGACCTTTCCTGCCCAAGGTCACCTGGGGGTCCACTTGAGTGGAGCCAGCTTTTCTTTCCTGCCTGCCAGCCCCGCCCCCAGTCCCCGCACTGTACCGGGGTTTTCATGGGGGCCGGGGAAAGCAGATGGAAGCGCAGATATGTCTGCAGATATGCTATGCTGCCGCTGCCCAGTACAGACAGTCTTTTAAGAACGGTGATGGAATTTACTCACAGGTGCAGACCCTAGGGAGCACCTGCCCCTCTGGATAGTCAGCCCTGGGAACACTACACCCCTTACCTTGGACCCACCTGTCTGCAGTGGGTAGGGCTTCTCTAGCTCATTGTGGTGCTGGTTCTCAGCTGACCGTCCCCAGGCCTTTCAGTTCAGGACACACTTGTGGAGTATCTAGCATGTATTGAGAGCCACACCATGAAGCTGAGACACAGTGAACAAAGCAGCCGAAACTTCTGCCCTCATGGAGCTGATACTTTAGGGAGTGGGGGACAACAAAGAGCCAGAGAACCATATCCACAGTAAGTTCTACGGAGCCCATAATGAGAAAAGGAGCAGGGTGTGCGTGCGTGCGCGCGTGTGTGCGTGTGTGCATGTGTGTGTGTGTGTGTGTATGTGTGTGTGTGTGTGTGTGTGTGTGTGTGTGTGTAGTGTGTGGAGAAGCCACACGAGGGGAATGGGCTCAAACTGCCTTTTTACTCTCCTCTAGGATCTAGGGAAGTCACTTCCCAGAGTCTCAGTTTTCCCTGCTGCAAAATGGTGACAGCGGCTTCCAGGCTGTTGGAGGTGGTGCCTGAGAGCGAGGCTTTGGGTGTCTGGCACACAGTGGGTTCCTGTCATGGATGTCTGGGTGTCTTGGTGATACTTTTACTGTGTTTGGCATGCTTTCGGTTTCAGTGCTGTCTGGAATAGTAGCCACCATGCAGCCATGGAGAACTTGAAGCTTGGCTGGTATGATTCAGGAGCTAGTGGTGCTTGGTGACCTGAACTGCAAGTGTCTGAAGGCTAAGCCCGTCCCTCCCTCTTTACAGACAAGACAGTTTGACTTGGGTTTTACACTGCTGCATATCTGATGGGCCTGGGTGGGAGGGGAGATCAGTAGCACTTTCTAACCATGTTTTCTTGATGCCTGGGATGATCTGACGTCTGACTGTTGGACAAGTATGGGGCCACCTGAGCACCCAGTCACGGTGGTTGGTCAGCAGTATAGCTCTGGGTGGTGCCATGACCTGGACAGTTCCTTGCAACAGCATAGCTTGGGGCTGATGCTTACTCCTGTCTGCGTGCCTTGATCTCTGTGGGCTTGGCCTTGGAGCCTTATCGTGGAAGCCACCCTAGTCTGGGCTCCACTAGGGTGGGAGTGTGGACTTTCTTCCTGCTCCTCCCCTGCACTCTGCTTCTGTGCCTTTTGTGGGCCTGGCATGTCCAGGCAGGTGTTCGGCACTTCGAGGCTTCCAGCCTGGGCTGGTTGTGGGATGTTGGTGGTATCTGGCTCCTCTGGGCAGTTCAGGTGGCATGTGGATGGCCGTCATTCAACCCCAACTGCCTGTCGCTAGTACCTTCTATCCTGGGAGCAAGGGAAGGTAGGTTTAAGCAAGCTCATTGCCTCCCTGAGGTTCCGTCTTCCTATACATAAAAGGGGCTGTTGAGAGGACCCTGGATCTGAGCCTGGAGCCTTGAGCCTGCTGTGCTCTTTTTAAAATGGACCTGTCTTCTCTACCTCTTTCCTCCCTCCCTCAGCTGTGCGGGTCCCCGCCCACTATTGGAGGAAAAGGGTGTAGGTGGGGCCACTGGACGTCCAGTAGTACATTCTGCCTGATGATTGGCTCTTCGCTAGGCAGGGGCGTGCCCTCTTCCTTATAATAGCTCCGGCTTCGCAACCAGGCGAGCCTTTGTCTGAACGTGCTCAGCCTGTCTTCCCTCCTTGCTTTGCAGCCGAGCCCGGCATCCATCTGCCAAATTTGTGCCTGAATCTGTCTCCTCGCCTCTGCCCTCGGGGTATGTAACCGTCATGCCTGTGGACACGCTGAGCCCTGCAGCGCCTGCCGCACCTGCCCTACCTTTTCGCCTGCGAACCAAGGTCCCAAGCTACCTGCTACCAAGGCCAGCAGATGGGGGAGCCCGGAAGCCAAGTGCTGTGGAACGCCTGGAGGCTGACAAGGCCAAGTACGTCAAGAGCCTTCATGTGGCCAACACCCGCCAGGAGCCTGTGCAGCCTCCGCTAGCCCGACAGCCCCTCTTCAGCCCTGGTCCTCGTGGGCCAGTGCTCACACCCAGCCGCCGAGCCCTGCCCTGTCCTGGCCGCCGGCCACAACTGGATGTTGGCATTCTTAACAGTCTCATCAACCTGTGTGATAGTCCCGTGTCCCCAGCCGAGGCCAGCCGAACACCTAGACGGCCAGAAGGATCTGCCCACAAGGTCCCACCAGCCACTCCTCCTCGTCCACCGCCTAGTACAGTCGCCGTGCGCCGAGTGGATGTTCGTCCCCTGCCTGCTTCACCCGCTCGTCCGTGCCCATCGCCCGGCACCCCTGCCACCTCCAGCCCAGGCCGGCCCCCTGGTTTGCAACGTTCCAAATCAGACCTGAGCGAGCGCTTTTCCAGGGCAGCAGCAGACCTCGAGCGCTTTTTTAATTTCTGTGGCCTGGATCCAGAGGAAGCACGAGGATTGGGGGTGGCCCACCTAGCAAGGGCCAGCTCGGACATTGTGTCCCTAGCTGGGCCGAGTGCTGGACCTTGCAGCTCTGAAGGGGGCTGTTCACGCCGCAGCTCTGCTACAGTGGAGGAGCGGGCCCTGGAGCGTGTCCCCTATGGGGTGTCTGTGATCGAGCGCAATGCCCGAGTGATCAAGTGGCTGTATGGGTTGCGGCAGGCACGTGACCCTCCGGCTACCGAGGGCTAGGTCTCCTGGACTCAGGCATCCTGGAAGGACATCGTGAAGAGGCAGTTGGCAACTTGTCCTTCCTTGTATCCATTGGCTGTCTTCGGCAGACCAGAGGCAGCTCCCTTGGGTGAACTTGGTATAGAGGCCAGGACTTAGTCCTAGACCAGCATCCTCTGGCAAGCATGGACTGACCTGCAGAGGCTTGCTGTTGCCCTTGGCCTCCCCCATTCCCTTAACAAGGTTTGTGACAGTGTGCTTCCGCCTGGTTCCTCTGGTGAGGCTGGATTTGGGCTGCTGAGTTGGGAACCAAGTACTTGGCCAAGCTTGTCTGCCCCAGGCTCCGTTTCCTCCTTCCTTCTCTGTCCTCCTTTGCTGACTTCCTCTTCCTTACTGAATGGGCCCTGGCTTCCTGGGAACTTACTCTGGGGGAGGAGGTTGAGAGGATGGGATGGATCTGTCTACTGTTCTTCCTGGTCTTTGGCATTTGGCCCAGGTGGGTAAACTGTTGGAGGGACTGGTTTGAGCCTGTTGCTCAGACTTCTCTTTGGTTAATAAACACAGATGTTTGTTTCTCAAGGTTTGGGGTTTCAGACTCTTTTCTGTTCACAGTGGAAGGAGTGAGCTAAGTCTGGGGACAGGGTCTTCACAATGTAATGATTGTTGACCCCAGGGTCTGGTATGCAGGAGGCTCACCTGTGTCAGTGTAGGCGGGCCTCACCCGAGCCCTACCCTGCACGCTCCTCCACAGGTGAGGAGATGGCCGGCCCGTGAGTAGGACCAGAGCAGAGAGTGGCTCTTTCCCCTGAAAGGAAGAAGCCTTTAAGGGAAAGGCTGCAGGAGGTATGGAGCCTCTCACCCTGAAAAGATTCTAGCCTCCCCTGGCCCCGCTGAGTTCCCAAGGGAAGTAGGTGCAGCAACAGAAAGCCCTGACTGTGGGTCACCAAGACACAGTAGGGGCGGGAGGTGGGAGTTTTGGGAGGAGGAGGGACTGGGGGGAAAATAGCCCACAGTGGTGGCCTTGCCTGTGGCCCTGGGTGACCCCAGACAGATCAGTCTTACTTCTGGGCCTCAGCGGAGAGCTCAGTGGTACAGGTCTTCAGTTGGGACCTTAAATTCTGGGGCTTTTGAGCTGCTCTGATTCCCAGGACTACCTGGGCCCTGCAGAGAGCAGCTAACCGTGGGGCCGTGGCCTCACATCTGTCCAGTCTCCCAGGCTAGTTCTTCCCATGTGGTGGAGAGGCAGGACTCCCTGGTACACAGAGGGTGACCTGGGAGATGACTTGACTCTTGACTGTCTCCCACAGGGAGGGGGACTGGGTGGTGTTTCCTCCCTGCAGGCTGCCGTGGCTCTAGTCTTCAGAAACAGGAAACATCAGGGGAGGCCTAGTGACAGGTTTGATTCTGGTTTTATTTTAAGCATAAAGAGATTTCCGTTGGGCTGTTGACAAACATCTGAGTCAGCACAGCTGTCTGTTTACCACCAACCCATAAAGTTCAGGGCAGTTTAGAGAAAGAAAGGGAAACTGAGGACAGGCTTGGTCCACTGGGGGAGCAGATGGAGAGAGGTACAGGAGGGCAGTCACCTGCCCCTGGTGGGTTTTCAGAGTCCCCATGCTGAAGAAGGAATGGGACTAGGGAGAGATCCAAGCCAGCCTTGCACAGTGATGCCTCTCACGATGCTAAAGACCACCCTACCCCTCTGGGTACCCTGCTGGCCTTGGATCAGTGTCTCTCTGGCTGTGATACTTAGTGCCCCAGCCACCCAGGAGGAGGGGGAAGAAAAAAAAAAGGAAAAAGAAAGAAAAGAAATGAGAGAAATTAGGGTTGTGATTCCAGGAACAGTGGGCGAGCCCAGTTCCTAGAGGAGGGGTAGTGCTGGCCACACCCCTCATTGGATGCTCCAAGTGATGTTTGGAGAGGCAGGCATGTGGTCTTAGGGCAGAAAGTGGAACATGGAGCAGTGGTGACTTATGGGCCATCACAGGGCAGGACTGCAAGACATCCTGGATTGCAGTCTGTTCTTTCAGATACTCCACAGCCAGCATCCACCCTCATCCTCCTCCCTCGGCATGTGCCCAAGCTCTCTTCCTCACCAGTTCTATGGTTAAGCATCTACTGGGTACCTATAACAGATACATCCCCCTCCCAGTGTGTGTGAAGGACAGGTAACCTGGTGGCATCTAAAGCAGGTGTGCCCAGGAACCTCAGCTCTGGAGACCATCACTGGCAGTGACAATAGGACTGGGCTAGGTGCTGCCTGATCTTGGGAGAGTTCCCAGTCTTTTAGGAATCCATGGAAGCAGCAGGCTGTGAGTGTCCCCTCTTCCAGGCAGCCCTTAGAATCTGGGGCACCAGCTCCTCCATTGTTCTGCCTCCATTGTAGTGTGAGAATCAGGAGTCTAAGCCCAAGTGCTGTTGTTCAGCCCTGCAGAGGCCCCGCAGCTGCTGCTCTGGCTGCGGGGGCTTCCAGCCAGCCTGGCCCCAGCTGCCCGGTGCCTAATTAGGCATGGATGAGACCTCCTTTATGTTCTCTCCATTAGCTGACCATACACATGCCAGCTTGGGAGACTGAGATGTAAAAGGCTCCTGGGGAAAACCCCCTAGGCCAGCCTCAGTTTACCCTTTGGCAGAGAGTGGAATGCAGCTAGCTCTCGAGGCTGTCTCTGGTGAAATGGTTATTTCTGCTAGCAATGCGTCCCGGGAGATTTGGGGCAGGCCTTCCCACCTGACCTAACATCTTGGGTTCAGGGAGCACGAAGCAGTGAGGAGTTAGGATATTGGCCCTTGAACTCTGGGTTCCCTGAGTAGGGGACGTAGACTAGAGCACAGTGACAGCTACCCCTGCATACACACAGAAGGTATGCAGTCCATCTAGGCGTGGGCAGAGTTTGATGTTTTCTTAGATTTATTTTGTATATGTGAATGTTTTGCTTGCATGTATGTATGCATACTACATGGGTGCCTATGACTGTGGAAGCCAGAAGATGGTACTGGGTCCTTTTGAACTGGAATTATGGATGGTTCTGTGTCACCATGTGGATGCTGGGAATTGAACCCAGGGCCTCTGCAAGAGCAAGAAGTCCTCTAAACTGCAGAGCCATCTCTCCAGGCCCCCAGCTAGGTTTTTTAAAAACAATATTAAATATTTTAGGTAACACATTCAGTGACCCATTTCCCCCAGCTTGTTCTTAGAAAACCTTGAAATATGAAGAAATTATCCAATGAATGCTTACCCACCCCCAAATGCACTTTAATGTTCTGCTGCATTTGTTTTGCCTGGGTACATCTGTCTACCATCCACCTATCCATTAAGTCAGAACTTCTTAAAAAGCTTTTCAAAGTAAAGTGTGACTATCAACACACTTCCTTCCAGGGTGTGATATGTTATTGTATGTGATGTGTGTGTGTGTGCATGCGTTTGTACAGGTGCTCTTGCCTGCGCTTGTACACATGGAGGCCAGAGGTTCACATCTATTGCCTGCCTCAATTGTTCTCCACCTTATTATTTTTTAAAACAGGGTCTCTCACTGTTCTGGAATTCCCTGTGTTCAGGTATGCTGGCTAGCCAGCAAGCCCTGGAGATTCACCCATGTGTGTCCTGCAATCCTGGGGCTACAGATATTCACTGCAACACCAGTGTCCCTGACCACCTGTGTGTGTCCCTGACCACCTGTGTGTGTCCCTGCAATGCTGAAGATCTGAACTTAGGCCCTCGCACTTGTGCAGCAAACGCTTTCCTCAGTGAACTCTCCTCAGCCCCATGTATTTTTTTTTAAATAGCAGTGCAACATGCAGCTCTTAAAAGACCATCACTTTCTGAGGTTAGCCAAGAGTGTACTGTGTCCAAAGCCCCAACATCACCACTGTGGGAAGTTGCTTGTGTCTCTCCCCTCCTAAGCCCTGCTCTCACCTGCAGACTCCTCTCTGTGTATATATGGATTAAACAGACATAATGAAAATACTCTTCCCCTCCCAGCCTTGATTCTCCAAAGCAACCATGTTCAGTTCTTTCAGTGATTTTTTTTTCCTGGTACCTGCCTCTGTGTTGAGAGAGGTTCTTTGTCCTGGCTGGGTTCCACGGCCCCTTTAGCCCCAAATAAACACACAAATGCTATCTTAGTTATAAAACTATTGGCTGGTGACTAGGGCTTCTTATTGGCTAGCTCTGTCTTAATTATTAACCCATTTCTATTAATCTAAGTATTTCCATGTGGTCTTATCTTACCGGCGAAGGGTCTGGACCTGCAACTCCTTTGCTGGCTACATAGCTACTCTCTGTGTGGCAGGCTCACTCTCCCTACCTGTCTCAGAATTCTCCTCATCTCCTAGACCCACCTATCTTCCTGCCTCATTGGCCAAACAGTGTTTTGTTCATTAACCAATAAGAGAAATAAAAGAAACATAAATACAGGAGGACTTCTGTATTTCTAAGGAGCTTTCCCCCCTTGCTACTGGTTGATTTGGGGCAAATATTGATGACTTTACCATCTGGTGTCTTTACAGAGATGCAGTAGCCTTGGCCTGTCATGACTCAGCCCTTCCTCTCACTGGCCAACTGGTCAGTTTTCTCATTTGTACACCATCATGACCTTTCGGGTGATTGAGTTGGGAGGACCTGCACTCATGTGCTTAGTGTGACGCATGAGCCCGGCAGGTGTTCAAACTTTCTTTTGATTAATATCAAGGAAGGTAGGTTTTATTCACTTACTTCTCTAACTTTGTGTACCACAGTTTTTCATTAAGCGAGTATACAATGTTTGGGTCACAGCTATGAATACTGTCTCACATCCCGTATCTCCTTGCATTTCCTTTCATTGTTTCCCCATGAGTTGCTGAGTTGCCATTTGCTTTGCTTTTCTTGCTTGCCTGGTGCCTCCTAACCTGGACACGATTCCGTTTCCCCAGAGTTGTATGACAGACAGCAGCCTGTTTAATTGGTTTTAGTTTCCCTTCTGAAATTCTTCAAATGCGTTTGAACAAGCCCTCCTCATGTCCTTTAAATTGGAGCCACTTTAAAGATTAGAATCTATAGAATAATTGTGAGAAGAGCATCCATAAGAGACCACAAGTGCTAGGAGCCTAGCTGTCCTGAACTCCCCATTCACCTGGAATCCCAAGTCCTCAGGGAACCCAGACACATCCACATGTAAAATGGGGATCTTTGAGTCACTCTGCAAGCATGCCCTGACGGTAGGATTTGGGTGTTTCATGGGTGTTTTATGGGTAGATGTGGTAACCGTCTCCCCGTCCTTTGGGGGCCTCAGAGAGGAGTATGGGGTAGAGAGGAGGTTGTAATGGCACCTGAGCAGGAGGAGGTGGGATTCAGAGGAAGTACCCTGAGAGGAGGCAGGTCAGATGGATAGGGGTATTCTGAGGATTTGTTTCTGTGCTGGAAGGATGGACTGACTGACTGTTCCTAGGGCTGGGCTGGGAAAGCCTGAGATGTTTGAGTAAGATGTGAAGCTAAGATTAGGTAGGAGTTAGCCAGGATGAAGGTAGAAAAGAAAAGGATTCCAGATGCCATGTGCAAGGGCCCTGTGGTTGAAGTATAGAGAAAAGGTGGGTTTGGACCTGGA